CTTCGATAACCCCTTTGATAACAAATCACAAGATCTTAATAATAGCACAATACCTGGTTCAGGGACTGAATCCATTAGTGTATTTAATAGTGTAAGCAGTGAAGCAAAGGATCATGAGGTACGGATGCGTAATTTATGAGAACTGTGGTCGGTCTGATATAACTCTTTCTTTTTGTATTTAGTCCGATGACGATTTCATGCCTATCCAACCAAAGCAGAAAAGAAATTTATCTTTACCAAAGAAGGTCGGTATAGAATTTATCTCTATGATGATAAGGATTTGAATTTCTCTCAAAAATAGCAACTAATTTGTGTGATTCCTTTTTTTAGGCTGATGATGATAAAGATCCTAAGTCAACTGATAGCAGTTCAAAACAGCGTAGGAAGTCATCTGAAAAAGCAGAAAAGGTGAAGAATTTGTAGTCTTTTCAGAGTAACTTAGCAAAAGTTAATTTTTCATGATATTTTTAATGATCGTCATCTACAGTCCGACATATCAGAAAAAATTGAATATCAGGATGAATCAGTCGCAAAAACAAATAGGCAGAAGGAAAATAACAATATTAAACGTACATTTGTGTTGGAATGGAATTTATACGAGGACTTGAAACAAATAGTTACAGTACGTACATGTAGATATGTGTTTCATTATTTACGTACATAGCATTAATAGATCTTAAATTCTGTACAGGAGTGGACCATTGATGATACGAGCATAAGTGAAGCATTTTTTCGTTTCAAAAGTTTTGCTGAATCAAAAGCAAATAGACATGAATTGAAATTCTCCGAGCACCCCGGCGAAATTCTGTTAGTTAACACGTTATCTTTTTATGTGGTGTATAAATATTAATAGTTAGGAATGTTAATAATAATGTATTGGATTATTAATGTCCAGTGCTCTAAATTCTATACTACTTTTGGAGGAAAACTCTGTCCGTGTACAATTAAATATTTCATCAGCCATCCGCACAAAGATTTTTGAGCAAATGAGGGCGATATACCCGAAATACGATTTGCCGAAAGTGGTTGAAGATATATGTCATCGATGTGCACAAGTTGCCCGAAAGCAGACCAGGGAGGCTCTAGAAGAAGAAATCGACAACGCTTATAATGATTTAAGGACGAACTCGAGTCCATCCGATAAAAAATTGCTGAGAATCAGTCAGAATGTTTGGAATCACATGTGGGTGTTTCTTTAATTTGATATTTGATTATCGTATTTCTCAAGTTACTAAGATAATTCTAATTAGTGCAGAGAATTGGCGAACAAGTTTTGATAGTCTTCAAACAATAGAAGATACCCACGTACATCATTCAATACATCCTTTTTTACGTCCATTTTTCCCTGACGGACCGGATAGGACAATTGATTGGTAATTCTACACGTCATTCATACTTTAGTGGGCGTATAAATGCAGTATTAATGTTTTATTTGCTTTCTTCATAGGGCAAACAAGTTGTCGTTCGTAAGCGCATCTAGGAAAAAAAATTGATGATGGCGAAGGTGAAGGTCATAAACCCGACTTCACAATCACAGTCAATAAAATAAGTGGCAAATTTGAAGTTGTATTTGGCCTATTCAAATCGCCTTACAAAAGTAGCTCTCATTTCGCGAATGTTGATTTAGTGGATTTAGGAGTATTTATGAAAGACTCACTAGATAACATGTATAAAGAGAAATGTCTTGAATTAGACATGGCTGTATTTGGAATCCATGCATTTGGTATGTAGCTTTCCGGATATATATTTTTTCTGAATGATTTATCTAATCAGTTTAGCATTCTGTTGGCAGGTTATAATGTCCGTATATATGCTATGGACCTTTCTTATGATGCTGTATACAGAATGTATTTGATAGGAGAGTTTGAAATGCCAAAAAGTAATATTAGCCTGTGTTTGGTTGAAAATGCGTTACATGAAGTAGAAAATCTGAAGGTAAATTTGATGGTCATTTGTATTATTGTGTTGATAAATTATCAACTTCATGGTTTGCTAATTACTAATTTCAGAATTTCGTAGAAGAATATATTGAAAGGCTTCCGTCCTATACCACTTATAATGAAAACACTATAAAAACCCCAACCGAAAAGATGAGAATGACAAGGAAAACGGTAGCAACTCCTCGCAAGGTATATTTTCATCATTTTTTATGTATCCGCTCATTTTTTGGTTCAGGGGTTTCTTATTACTTTTTTTATGCTATCTTTTAGGTTGAGTTGATGTGTAATTACCTCATCACATGATTTGCAATTGAAAATTATCTATCCGCAAGGTCTTTTGAGCCTTAAGAGTTAAGAGTAAATGTTTAAAGTGATCGTTATGCAATTTATCTAATTGGGCTTTAAATATGTGCATGTGACTACTTTACATGACGTGATATATTTAGCATTGAAATAAAATTATACACTTTGTGCCTTGCGAAGCGTTACATTGTCAGATATCTTTTTTTAGTATGCTGATCGTTACCATTGGTAACTGTTTTTTGCCACAACGAAAAAATAAATGCACCGCCTTTAATACCATAGGTAAAGAAAAAATAGCACAGATTAAATATAAATCTGACATTCATCTTAAATCTAACTAAAGATGAAAAAGACGAAACCTTAAAACGAAAAGTTTTGATATAAATGTACTGCGCCGTTTCTTCTGCGCAATTTTGACGAGCTCACGTGTATTTTCAAACATATATTAATAAAGCATTACCATACCGGGTTTATTTTAAAGTGTGTTCTACATTCGTGATGCGTCAATGAT